CCTAAAGGAGATCAGTCCTGAGTGTTCATTGGAAGGACTGATGTTGAAGCTGAAACTCCAATACTTTGGCCACCTGATGAGAAGAACTGACTCACTAGAAAAGACCCTGATGCTGGGAAAGATTGAAGGCAGGAGGAGAAGGGGACGACAGAGGATGAGATGGTTGGATGGCATCACTGACTCAATGGACACGAGTTTAAGTAAACTCTGGAAGTTGGTCACGGACAGGGAGGCCTGGCATGCTGCAGTCAATGGGGTCACAAAAGCTGGACACAACTGAGCAACTGAACTGAACTGAACTGAAAGGTCAGTGAATTTGCATTATAAAACATGCACATTGAATTGATTTTTCAAACTACATCTGCAGTCACTCATCCCAGTCCCTCTAACACGCCTTCCAGTCCCCTCACCCTTCAATGCCCACCATCACTGCCTTAGTGTGCGTGCTCAGCTGCTTCCGTCATGTCCCACACTTTGCAACCTTATGGACTGTACCAAGTCAGACTCCTCTGTTCATGAAATTCTCCAGGCAAGAATACTGGAGTGGGTTGCTGTGCCCCACTTCCCGACCTGGGATCTTCCTGACCCAGGGATCGAACCCACATCTCTATGTCTCCTGCACTGGCAGGCAGGTTCTTAACCACTAGCGAAAGAATAGTTTCTACAAACTTGGTAGACCTGACAGCATTCTTCCATGCCACAAGAATGAATGTAACTCATAAGCTGCCAAGGCAATGTCTTTCAAAGCCACTGTCTTCCGTGAACACCAGGACAGTCAACTGGTTTCATGTTTTTCTTCATTTGTATTAAATGACTTATTTAGCTAACTACCCACGCCCACTTCCAAAAGGTGGAAACAGAACAAAATTGTTGTTTTGTTTTAAAAAAGAGAACAAGGGACTGACTTTTGGGGGGAAAAAATGAAGAACTGAGCTCACATTTTAATGCTTGTAATCATTATACCATTTTATAAAAAATATTTTAAATTGAATTTTAAATGGTATGAAAGTCCCTACTATTTATATAAATTATTATTTGCATAGATTATTTATGTAAATTGAGAAATTTTTAAAAAATGTAAAAATGGGAACCAGATTAGTCACTAGAAATTAAGTATATGCAGAAGGGTCAAAATCTAAAAACTAAAACCCCAGTACTGAATGCATTTTCTATAAACTGTGCATAATTTATGGATATTGTATTGTCTCATTAATTTAAAGTAACACCAGCCCAGAATGGATGCATGAGACAAGTGCTCATGACTGGTGCACTGGGAAGACCCAGAGGGATGGGATGGGGAGGGAGGTGGGAGGGGGGATCGGGATGGGGAACACATGTAAATCCATGGGTGATTCATGTCAATATATGGCAAAAACCACTACAATACTGTAAGTAATTAGCCTC